TGCTTGTAAACTCAAAAGCTAGCAATCGCTGAGCATCTCATCCTCCATCCTCTTAGGTTTGGACCGTCAGTAATCGCTTGAAGGAATCGCCAGGAAAAAATCAAATTCTGTCTCCTTCATGAACTATTAGTTGTAGGGCCATGCAACACCACGTAAACAAAAAACTAGGGGATTACTTACTTGGGAGAAAATCCGAAAAAGAATACTGTTCTTGGGAAGATTTTGGCCGTACATTTGTCACAAATGTCGACGGAGGGGACATTTTCACATGGTTTTGAATGCCGTCTTTCCAGCCTATTTCCCTACATCAGTAACATGTCACCGTTGTATCACATCCTCATCCGTCGATCAATTGGTCTAGTGAGTTTTGTTTCAATATCTAAGTGCCATGCTCGAGAGTGGGCGGTTTTGAGGACATCATGAACGGCATTGGAGGAAGGACGTGAGGGCACTACCCCAATCACGCCCCTCTCGCCCCAATCGCGCCGAGTAGTTCATAAAAGACCTCATCAAAATCGCTTCACCTTCCAGCCATCGTGATCACTGCCTTGAACGTCCAAGGCCTATTTCACGATTGTGCTTTGTGAAGCATTCCTTTCTGTGAGTAGAGCTGTTCACAGTAGAGGATATGTGCCATTATGGCAGCACTCAGGCTTTTGGGGCTTGCCAGGCCTCGCTGAAGGTATTGTTCGCGATGCAGCACCTCACGCGACGGAGTGTCCGCATCTGGCACACTCCTGCTCACTCGTCCGTTCTCTCGCTGAGACACCTAATGCCTCTTCGTCGTGGACTCGTCTGAAGCCTGGAAGTGCTCCTTATTATAGCGTTCGGCGCAATGTGGCTCGCGGGGAGCCGGTCGCCGCTGCGGCGCGTGGCATTTCCGGTACTTCAGTGCTCCATGAGCAAGGGGGAGTGTAGTCAGTTCAGGGGGTGGGAGGTGAGCTTTTCACGCTGTGAGGCTAGTCACCTCACAGCGTGAAAAGCTAGAATGTCCGTGTTCTCACTATTTCGCTAGGAGAGCGCGAACATGCCGCGCCGCGACGGCGAGTGGATTCCCCCTCCGCGCCATATTGTGCCTAGCGTTCCTTTTAAATAATATTCATCTTGTCTCCAAGCCCTTCCACCTGCAGTTCAGGTGAGCGAATGATAATCGGTTTGGGAGGGTGGCGGAGGTTAGTTAATCGGCCGC